GCTTAGAAAAATTTTTAAAAGCATTGTTTTTTTACTTGATTTAATTCTTCAACATTTAATTGGTTTGAATTTGAGCTTAGTTAAACTCATGTCTAAGATTTTATGGGTTGCAAACTTTAAAAATTAACTTAGCTTTTATGAAATTTGCTTAAAATTGCTTTATTTTTTTTATCATTTCTTTAAGATAATGTTTTTTTCAATTTCGTTCAATATTTATTTAATTAAAAAACGAGCTTGATTTTTTTTCATGTTTACTATGACCTTCGTTATATCATTTTTTTTATTTCATTGGGTTACACATAATTTTTTTTATTTATTATTCATTGTTAAGATTATTTTTTAAAATTATTTTATTTTTTAAAATTATTTTTATTTTTTAATTAAATAGAATTGATTTATTAAATTTACTCAGATGCTCATTTTTAATTAAATAAAATTAATTTATTAAATTTACTCAGATGCTCATTTAACCTTTTTTATTCAAATTTTTTTTCCAAGATGTTGCTCTAGTTATGTTGTCAAAAAGTTTTGTAGGCTTTGAACTATCTCAACAAGGGTTTTTTTTTTTTTTGTGATAGGTGATGTTCACAATATTGTTTTACATATGGATGTATATTTATTGTGTGTTTTCTCTTTTTTTTTTTCATTATTGCCATTAATTATTCTAGTGCTTTTATTTTTATTTTTTAATTATTCTATGAAAAATTTGACGACATTCCTTTAAAATAAAAGACCCGTCAAGAATGTTGTTGACAAGTCCAAAAAATAATTATATTTGAAATTGCTAAAAGTAAGTATAATTTATATTTGATTTTAAAATTTTGATATCAATTCTTTTTAAATAAAAACACGTAAAATAAATATTTATCTTTGAAAAAAGAGACCACATCAAAATTATTAAAAATATATATTGGACACATCTGATAAAAATTAAACTTTAAATCTATATTGATGATATGAGTTAAGCTTGAACCTAACTATTAACTATATGGATCTTAATAAGATTTGGGCATTTTACCCATTTATTTTTATTGGTCTTTTTGTATTATTATTTTTTTATTGTTGTTATATGAGAATATCACTAAAAAAAAGTAATATAGATGAAATTTAAACACAAATAATAAAAGTATTTATTCAGGGTTTTAGATTTATGTATGAAGGTGAAAATAAACACCAAAATTTGCTGGGAAATAACGTAGGAGCACTCAATCGATTGTCCTGGAAATGGTGTGTGCGTCTCTTCCCATGCGTTAATTAAAATGAACCTGTAAAAGAAAGAATTAAATTTGGCAGTATAAGACATTCCCATCTTCTCTTCTTCTTCTTCTTCTTATGTTCTCAGGTTTAATACCACAAGTAAAGGAACTTAGGTGGCTAACTGGAGGAGATGCCGACTGTGTGTGGTGGCTGGACGTTGCTGGCTCGGTCCGGAGGGGTGACAGAAGAGGAAGCAAGTGGCTTTGAGGTTTTTTTTGGGTGCCTTGATTGTTGCGGTTGTGAGAGATGGTTTGATAAGGGGGACAGGAGATGGGTCACGGATACTGGCGTGAAAGAGGGAATACGGGTCTGTGATTAGGTTTTGATCTTGTGGGTGGTTGTTTTAATGGGATTTGGCCAGAGGAGGGGAAAGATGTCTGGTTTTTGGTTCGGCTAACCTAAGAAGACTGCTAGGTTCAAGGCTTTATGAGTCTTTTATCGTGGGTTGGTGATGCTATGGGGTGTGGAAGTAGAACTCGGTGGTTGAGGCAGAGCTGTGGTGGAGCTACTGGAGGCGCTGTCATGGGCAGTGGAGGAGAAATGGGTGAGGTTGAGAGTGGTGATGGTTATTGAGTCAATGCACGAGGGAGTGAAGGCTTGTCTCGGTTGGAGCCTGAGATGTTACTGGTGGTCTCCGTTGAGAGGCTCTCTGGTTCTTTGAAGGTTGAGTATGGTGATGGTAAAGGGTGGTGAAGGCTACTGGTTTGGATGATGGTTGGTTTGTTTTTGGTGGGGACTCCCTGGAATTAAAGGCTGTCTTTTCCTTTTTTGTGTTTTCCTTGTCTGAGAGATGAAAAAGATTGATAGAAATCTGGGAAAATTTCCCAATTTCTTCATTGTTCTTCGGGGGAGGCTTTTGATCGGTTGGGAAAAGGGTAGTAGGTGTTTACGGATTTTTTTGGTCAATGCTCTTTGTCTCTGTAGGCTGGTGAATACCCCCTTGTGTTCTTTGTTGTGCGTCCCCTTTATATAGAGAAAATGTTGGAATTTGAATAATTATTTGAGGTTTGATTGAAGACTTGCTGGAGTTCTGGGATTGAGGAGCTGATTCAATGCATCAATTAAGATGCAATCCCATGATTATAGCTGAAGAATAAAGTCCCACGTTTATCAATCAAAGTTGCAGATTGGTTGATCTCGATTTGAGAGCTGGGATTGTGACTGAAAGATACGAAATTCATTCCTTGATTTGAATGGATTCTAGAGACAAAATTAAATGAATTGAATTAAATGAAAATAATTGGACTATATTTAATTAAACTAAAACGATTGTCAAGAAACAACTAGGATTGAAATGAAATTATATAAATAGTTAAATGGTCCTTGAAATATTTCCCTTTTTTATTATAGTCCTTGACTTTTGAAGTTTTTTCAATTTAATACAATTAGCATTTTAAATCTTGAATTCTCTATGATTTAAACCATATATCATTTTTTTTTAATAGCATTTTTAATTAAATAAATTTAAACTTTTAAATAGCTGAAATAAATCTACTATTGGTTCTAAAAAATATGCTATGATTTAAACCATATATCATTTTTTTTCAATAGCATTTTTAATTGAATAAATTTAAATTTTCAAATAGCAGAAGTAAATCTACTATTGGTTCTAAAAAATATACACTTTTGACTAATCTAACTCTTGGTTATAAGCTTTGTTTTCAATTAGGTTTTTCATTATCTTTTTAACTTAGTTATTTATTTCAAATTCATTCTTGAACGTAAAATTTTTTTTGTTCTCTACCATAATAAATCAAATTAAGCCCTTTTCTTAATTTTCTCTTCAATTCAACCTAAAAAGTTCTAAACTCATTTTTTTTTCATTTAATGCTCAATTATTTTTTATTTATTTTAGATTTTTTATTTTTTTAATAATTTTTCAAGATTTATTTTAAGCAAAAATGAAATAAAAAAATGAAGAAAATTATTTTCACCAATTTTAGGTCCCACATAAACTAAAAAAAAATAAAAAAAATAAAAAAAAAATAAAAATCAATGAATAAAGTATACCAAAACATGTAAGACATTATCGAAGACTGGTTGAGAAAGATCAAATATACAAGATTGAAAAATTTGATAATGTATTTTCAACTAATGAATGACTTATTGGCAAAGAACATCCAATTTAAGGAGGAAAATTTAAAATTAAATGTTTTAGGATCCAATTATAATTTTTAAGGTCTATTTGAATTTATTAAAGGCTTAATTGCAAAAAAAATAATTTAAAGTCAATTTAGACTTTAACTAGGAGAAAGTGAAGTTTTGGGGGTTAAATTGTAATTTTTAGGAGTTAATTTAGTCAAATCAAGGGTTTAATTGCATAAATATTGAAGTTTGATAGAGAATTAAAGATTTTTTTTAAAGAAATAAAAAACTAATGACCAAGTTAGGAAACACGTATGAATATAGGAACTAAAATTGACTAAATCAGGGGCTACATTAAAAGATATGCATTCCCTTCATCAACTTTAGGTGGTCTTGGGCAATAATAACATTAGAATTGCTCTGATGAGACCTCGAGCAACCAAGTCACACACAAAATCTTCTTAATGGGTCTTTATCAAAGGTTTACAATACCTGCCTCAAGATCAAGAAATCAAAAATTGATTTAAGACCTCTTAAAATCCTATAAATATTCTCAAGTTTAGAAAGAAAAAAAAAAAGGTGGGGACGAGGATGAGAAAACAAAAGGATAAGAAAAATATCAATAAGAAATATAAGTATAGAAGTTAAAGAATCTAAACAAAAAATTTCTTAGTTTTGCTAGTATATGACAGACAAAAATTTCCAAAAAAAAAAAAAACAAAGAAAGAATATCTATTTTACGTGTACTTTTTGGATTTAAAAGTAGGTCTTTTGTGACATGCTCTTAATGTTTTTTATTTACTTTTATTTTATATTTAAGTCTATAAACATAGAAAAGGGATTTTTTTTATTTACTTCTAATTTATATTTATGTCTATAAGCATGGAAAAGAGATTTGAATGCTAGTAATGTTGTATTTAGTTCTTTGTTTATGTTTTCTTTTATATTTATTGATGTTGATTTTTATGTTTATTTTATGTTCTTGATACATTAAAGTTGTTATTTAAGTTTATTTTTTATATATAATGTTGTTTTAGTTTTTATTTAATTTAAACTATGCATATTAAATAAATAATGTTTTACTCTGGATTTACTGAGTCTATTCATACACAAAATGAATTTAGAAAACTAATTTTAAATTTATGTTATATAAACATATAGTCTACTTTAAGTTTATGTTTTTTTTATGTATCTTTTGCTTGATTGATGTTTTGATATGTTTTGTTAATTTTTAGATTAAATATGTTTATGTATGATATTGTAACTTGTTGAGATAAAAATACATGTTTTACAGGCCAAAAATACTCATTTCTCGGCTTGGCTGTAGCTACCATTTCTAGGCTTGGTAGGGGCTGTCATTTCTGGGCATTTCTAGGTTTTTTTCTGGGTTTTAGGTAATGTTTTTTGTGTTCTTAGAAGAACATTGCTTTCACTCCTAGATTTGAACCAATTTTGATTTATGGTTTTTGCACGTACACTTTTTTTTATACTTGATTTACTAATAATCTAGTATTTATTCACATCAATAACAAGTTTAAGAGATGTTTAATCATAAAGTTTTTCTCTCTCCCACTCTCTGCCATCCCAGCAGCCAACCCGACCACCACCACTCTCACTTGCAGCTTTTCTATTATGGAGATGAGTCCATGAACTTGACCAGATTGAAGACAGGAGTCATCAACGTTCAAAGCTCTCCATAATGATCCACAAAGAAACTAAAGTCAGATTGGATGGATACATTACAAATTAGAAAATAGATTGAAATCTGATTTGGACTATCCAGGACCCTTGCTAGCTCCCTCTTTCATCACTAACAATCTGTCTGTCTTGCAAAATAAAAGAAGAAACGGACTCAAAGGAGGCACCTATTGTTGAGGGTGGATTTAAAAGGTGCATTCATCATGGCCATAAATACTACCAACCAAAGACTGGATCATAACCAAGCCATTCAACAACAATGTCCATGGAAAATTGCGGGCCAGGCTGTAGAACATAGGCAACACGGACAAGCAACCAAACATTTAGAAAAGGAAGTCCTGGAGGATGTAAAAGTGAGCTCAAAACTAAGAGCCTAAAAGCAACCTCGAATCCAAGAGGAGCAAGGGGGACAAAGAACCCAAAGACGCAAAATTCTCAACATTTATTTGCCAATCAAACTTTGAACAGCATGGATTCAAGTAATTATATTGCACAAGGTAAACAACAATTTTGTCAATCCGTAGAACAGCAGACAACGACTAAAATGCTACACAGGCATAAAAGAAGGCGTTTTGTAAGGAGCAATTCAATTGTTATCTTAATAGTTCCACAGCATCGTTTGTCAATTAAAATAAAGCCAACATGAAGACAAACTTTTGTTGGCATTGAGAATAGTAACATGCTATTTTGGTATATTTAGTCACAGCTAAGCCGAATTAATTAGCAATACAACTAGATAAAACGCGTCCAAGCAAAAGTCAGTAGCACTAAAACGGGATAAAAGGACATTTAAGACAAGATGAATCAATCTGAATTCAACCAAAGGAAGCAAACACCTAACTAGAAACACTCTCAAGTTTCCACCACTGAAATTTAACATCAAAGATAACACATTAACAATTAACATCAAATGTAATACACCAAAAAATGAATATCAATTCACCTCAAACTTTTAAAAGCTGCATTTTGTTTGAAAACGCGATAGCAATCCAATCAGGCAGTGCAGCAGACCATTGAAGCTGGTTAATTTCAGAAGCAGCAGAGCACATGGACATTGGATCAATCCCATTAGGTCCAGCCATAGTTGGCAACTCCCAAATAAGAGCCTGTGAATCATCACCAGCAGAACAAATATGCCTACAACTCTGCGGAGCCCAAGCAATAGCATTCACACTCGCCATATGCCTCTCCAACTCAGCAACAGGGACTGTTGGAGACCTAATATCTAAGATCACAACTTTATTACTATCCATCAATATTGTAGCCATATACCTCAAATCCTGTTTGTTCCAAGCCAATCTCAACAAGGGTGTATCAGGTCTAGGACTCTCATATATAATAGTAGAATGTTCCTTGTCTCTTAAATCAAAAATCCTAACTGACCCATCAGCTGAAACTGAAGCAAAAACCCTTGCTTCACCCCAAGCAATATCATAAACTTCCTTATCATGAGCTATAAGTTGTGTTTCAACAGCACCCTTTTCAATATCCCAAATCGTACAAGTTGTATCAATACTACAAGTACCAATTCTCTTAGGTTCAATGTCATTCCAGTCAAAAGAAGTTAAAGGGGCACAAAACTCACTTGTCTTGCTATTGTTAAGCACCAAAACAGGCTCAACAGAAGCAGAGTCTCTAACTTCCCACAATCGAAGATAGTCACCAGAAGAGGCTAAGAGGTCATTCGACTTGTGAAGAGATGAAGGGCTAAACATGAGCTTTGTGGGTGGATAAGGGTGCTCAACAGAGAGATTTTGGTGGGGTTTGATAGAGAGGGTTTCAGGGTCAAAAGAGACGATGTCTATACGGTTGTTGTAGTCTTCAATGAAGCTACCTAAGGCAATCCGCTGGTATTGGTTTGCGCGAGATGCGGTTGAAGAGATTGCCATGGCATAGAGAGGGTATGGGGATTCATAGGTTACAGTGTTTTCTGATCTTAGGTGGGATTCTTGGGTTGAATTCTCCATCTATTGGGCAATCTTTTGTTTGTTGTTAGGGTGTTTCGGCGACGAGGTTAAATGGTGGTGTTGGAGTTCCTTTGGTGTTGAGAATGGAGATTCGCGAATTTTCGAGGAAGGAGGAGGAGAGGTTGAAAATTCAACAGCTAGTCTTCTTCAGATGGACTCTGGAGTTAGTAAACTACATAGAAAAGGGGCCGGATGGCTTCCCACCTAACTGGTTAGTTGTATGATGTGGTTATGTGGCGGCGGCGGCTCAGTTTTGGGCCTTCTGGTTTGAAATAATACGGGCCTCCAAGATTTGAAGGTCATTGCTCAATATGGTATCTTAGACATAGAAGCATCTTTTAGGATGTAAAAGCCCTGGGGGTTCAATTTTCAAGGCCCTCCTCACCTCTTGGTTCGCCATTTCACTTGTGGTGGACCCTACAAGGATCGATTCACGTGAAGGATTGATTTTATAGTTTTAACATTGATTTAAGGTTCAGGTTTATGATTTTAACCCGATTACTGGGCCTTAAGTATATTATTGAATAAACTAGATTAAATTTTATTTTTTAAAAAAATTAAAATAATGTTATTTTAATAAAATTTTTTAATAAATTTGCAATTGATTCTTGACCAGGTCTTATTGGGTTAATCGGGTCGTCGGATCATGCTAGATTTTTCTTTCCTCTAGTTTTTTGTCAACTCGATTTGGTTTCAATTTTAGATTGGCCGAATCCTGGATCAACCTGCCGGGCTGGATTTCAAAACTCTAGTAGATTCATACTCAAGAGGCATCAAGAAATTAACATCAAGAAGCCACCAAAGCAACAATCTAATCTCATGAGCACTCATTGAATTATAATTCAGTGTTTGAGTTTTAAGTTATTTTATTTATTTATTAAAGATAAAATAGTTTTTTTAAGTTCATTCAGTTTATAATTTTTTTTATATTTGGATTAAATATATTTTTTATATTATTATAATCATATAGTATCGATAAAACTCTATAATTTTTATATTTCTTTTTATATCTTTGGATTATTTAACATGATATTAGAGTATAGTTTCATAAAACGAGATTTAATTTCAAACACAACTTTTATATATTCAATTTCAAGAAGATTTTTGTTTAGTTTCTATAATCTAGTATTTGTTTTCTTTTCTTTTGCTTTTTAGTGTTCTTTGTTTGTTGATTATAGCTATTAAAAAAGATTATTTGCTTCATTACGTGTGTGTGAAATTGGATGTAAATACTTATTTGTATTGAAGTTATATGACGAGAAAAATTTGTTAGGATAAAATGATAAGGGGATATGTTAGTGAACCTTCTATAATACCAAGAATACTGATGAGGGTTATGCTAATTTGATAAATGTTTAGGAAGCAAATAATGCAAATATTATTACTTGGATTAACAATTATATTGAGCATTCTATAAGTACACAGTCAACAAAGTACGAGATAATATTGAGCATTCTATAAGTACACAGTCAGCAAAGTATCAGATAATAAAGGAGATTTGAGATTATTTACAAAGGTTATTTAATAAAGGAGATTTGAGATCATTTACAAAGGTTATTCACATAATTAAATTTGCAAAGTATTATCAATTAGAGAATGACATACGAGCTTTTCACTAGGAAAATATGAGTATTCAAGAGTTTTATTCTTCTATAACAAACCTTTGAGATTAATTAGCTCTTACAAAATCAGTAAAATTAAAGGTATGCAGTGCCTATATTGCTCATAGAGAGCAGCAATGATTGATATAATTTGTTAACAGTGATTTTAAAGGACTTAGAGGTTCAATTTTGCATTATTCTCCACTACCTTTTATTGACTTAATTGTCAATGAGTCATAGGATAAAAAAATATATTTTTAATCTTATTATAAAAAAAAATTCTTTTTTACTTCTAATCATTATGTGCTAACAATACCTTCCAAGTCATTCTCTAATAATCAAAATAAACATTACATAAAGATTGCCTTCGACACGTGTAGTTTTGTAAGTAAAAAGATTATTAAAAGGTTTAATATCTCAAGTTAAGACAACAAAATCAATCTTAAAAGTTTAGTAATCAGTTACAATTCAATACTTATAGACCACCTAAGAGTTACAAACCATCACACCACAATACAGTAGTAATAGTTTTATTAGGTCTTTTCACCAATTCTAGTACTCTAGTTGAGCAATTTCAAAAGTTTATCTCCTTATAGCCACAACCAATATTAGCTTCTTCTTCTATAGATCAATTGCCTCATAGTTCCTCAAGTATATCACATTTTAAATAAGTCTTGAATTTTGATGCTTCACATCATGTATCTCTAGATTTTGTTATTATTTACTTTAATGTCTCATTCAACTTTTATTCCTACCATGACTATTAATGACACTTACATGCCCTTAACAGGTATTAGTTTTATTGTCACACATCAATTATCATTTTCTAATGTTTATCTTATTTTGAAACTCATATTAAATCTTGCTTATATTGGTTAGTTATGTGATTCTAGTTATTATTTAGTTATTTTTCCTTTTTTTTTTTGTTATGTACATGATTTATAGTCTTAGAAGCTTATTAACATAGCTTATTGAAAGAAGGGACTATATATTTTAGATGAGTTAAAAGTGTTAATTATTATTGCCACCGCTACTAATTTGTCTTCTTTTCATTTCAGTCTTTTTTTTTTCTAGTTTTTATTTATGACATTCTCGTCTAGGTCATGTTTCATCTTCTCGTTTGATATTTTTAGCATCCACATAAGCTTTATGAATTTTGCAAGCTTGTGATATTTCTGATTGTAGTTGATGTAAATTGATAAAATTTTATGCTTTATCTTTTAATCAAAGTATTTCTGTTTTTTCTTTTTCATTTGATTTGATTCATTTTGATGTATAAGGACTTTCTTCTATTGCCATAAAAGGAAGGTCTTGATATTATGTTTTTTTATTATTATTATTGATGATCATACTTGTTATTATTCGTTTATTTAATGAAACATCGTTTTGAATTTTTTGAGATATTATATAACCTTTAGAGTTCTTGTCAAAACTTAATTTTTTTAGGTGTGATTTAGGCGAGGAATATATCTTTTTTGTGAGTTACTTGCCTTAAATAGAACCATTCATCAAATATCATATATAGATACTCTTAAACAAAATGGTATTGCTAAAAGAAAACATAGGCATATTGTTGAAACTACTTATTCTTTCTTGTTGTCTATTTTTGTTCCTAGTATGTTTTGGGGAGAAGTTGTTCTTTTTGCTGGAGATCTGATTAAGATAATTATATCTTTTTATATTTTAGTTTTTTCTCATTTTGAAAAGTTACATGGGTATGTCCTTGATTATATATTCTTTAGAATTTTTTATTGTACTTGTTTTGTTCTTTATCCTTATATAGAATATAATAAATTGCCTTCTCAATCTATTATTTTTGTCTTTTTTGGTTATGGTAAAGGTAAAAAGAGGTACTATTATTTTGATCCAATAACCTGAAAACTTTATGTCTTATCATGTTGTCTTTCTTGAGCATATACCTTTATTTTCTATTGCATCCACTATTCATAACTTGACTAGATTTGATCTTATTTGTATGAATCTTTTTTTAAGGATTTTGATAGTTTATCATCTCAGGTTTTCTACGATATTTCTTAGGTATTAAAGTTGTCTACTCACCTAGAGATTATCTTAGGGCAGTTGCTGTTTTTATTTTACGATATCTTCGGGTACAATCTTTTAGAGTCTTTTACTTCCATCCACTTCTTTTTTAGAGCTGTGTGCATACTCTAATATTGATAATGATAGTGATCTCACATATCGCAAGACTGTTACTTGATATTTTTTTTTTATCTTTTTAAATGATTCTTTTATTTCTTAGAAGAGCAAGAAATAATCAATTATTTCTAAATCTTCAATAGAAGCAAAATATCATGCAATGACATCTACTATTAAAGAGATTGTTTGGTTACACTGGTTACTTGTAGAGATGTGAGTTTTCCTTTCTCATCTCACTTTTATGTATTGTGACAATGAGAGTTCTATTTAGATTGCTCACAACTTGGTTTTTAATGAATAAACTAAGCACATTAAGATCGATTGTCATCTAACCAACCATCATATAAAGCATAACACCATTATTTTGCTTTTTGTTTTTTTTTATTTATAGATTGCAGATTTATTTACCAAGTCACATTTTATTCCTCCTTTGTATCTTATAGCTGTGGCATTATCAGTTTGAGGAAATATGTTAAAAAATATATGTATATTTTGTTTTATTTGTTAAGGGTGAAATAATATTTTTATTTTCTTTATGGATTAGCCTATATATAATCTATTTGTATTTAGCTTAAACTTTTTCCTTTAGATTATTGTAATCATGCAGTATCAATATACCCTAATCTCCTCCTCTCTTATTTTTATATTTATATTTATTTTTTTGAATTATTTAATAGAGTTTAGTTTAAGAAGAAATAAAGAATAAGAATAAGAACAAATATATCTTTTAGTTAAGTAGTATTTGTGTATCGCTAAGAGGGTGTTAGAGAGAGCCCTCTTTAAGAGTGAGGCAATTTTTAATTTTATATGTTTTAAAAGGGATATTTGTTTAAAAAGAAAAATAAATATTTTTTTTTAGAATTCTTTTGATGAATTTGGTTTTCAATGTCAAAAACAAAAAACATATTATTTTAATATATTTTTTGTTTTGTATTGTACTATGAATCTTTTTGTTTATGAAAGGTAGGTTATCATTCATGGAGTGTATTTGGAAGCAGTGGAGAGATTGTTGGGAGAAGCTGGATCTGTAATGTGATAATCCATCAAAGACAACGAGACTTTCTACAAGTTTAAATGTGAACAAGGAGAAGGTTCACAGCTGGCGGGAGTACCATCTTAGACTCCATTGCTATCCTCTTGACAAGCACAGGCAAGCTTAGAGAAAACAAAGTTTGATGTTTGTGGACTGTACATTAACTGCAATGGAGAATTTATATCACATGTGGGATTCTGGTAAGAAAAGCTCTAGAAAGTGATGGCGGATCTCAAAATCCAGCACTTAACGAGTATTAAAATTCTGGATTCCTCAATCTCGGGCAACCATCCAAAAATAAAAGAGCAATGTCTGCTCTCAGATCTCCATCCCCACCACACTTTACTAGCTTTTTGTCTCGCTTTTCATAATTATTTTTGCAGTCAACATCAGATTGACGTTTTGCACAAGGTTGATGCCACAGCCAAAACCATGTCTGGATTTTCATTAAACTGCCAGATGG